TATATATATGTTTTCTAACTCTTTATTTCAGATCACTATTCCAGCAGTAAAGTTAGATGGTTGTGGTAATAGTAAGGGTTGCTACAGGGTGATGTGTTCAGTATATATATGTTTTCTAACTCTTTATTTCAGATCACTATTCCAGCAGTAAAGTTAGATGGTTGTGGTAATAGTAAGGGCTGCTACAGGGTGCCAGCAGGCTGTGTTCAAGGGCAGTGTATATATGCGTTATCATGGCAGAAAGATGGAGAAGACAAAATCAAGTTTGAAATGATTGGTAAAATGGAGGGAGATCAGAAATACGTGGCTGTTGGGTTTTCCAATGATAAACAGATGGTGAGTGTGGAATAAACACTCCTTGCATACAGGGGTGGGGGATATGATATCCATGTATTAAGCAATGATAGATTATAGGACTGATATGAACTGTGGCATTTGGAGCAACATTTTATATGAATTCATCTTTTCTGTTCATACTAAAAACATCAAAAATGATTAGATTCTCACTTTTTTAGAATCCTGTTGATGGTTTTGTATAGTTTTCGTTTAGACTAAATGATTATGTTTTCTTATTTTCTTTTTATAGTATGTTCATTGATTCATGCATAAGTCCTGTAGATTTTTGAAATTAAAAAGATTGTACATTGATAATGGAAAGAGGAAATTTTAGTACTGATGTAGTTAATCTACAGAATGTTAGGCTTTGATTTTTGATGCTATTCTAATTCTTTTACGTGGTTACCTGGCTCTGTTATTCAAATTATCCCATAGCCAGCACTTCCAACAGTAGGATAGTTGTACTTGTGTTTCACTTACAGGCTCTCTTGTATTATGATGTGGTGGGCTTGTAGCTAAATACAAGTGCAATCATCCTGTAGTTCAAAGCGTCAGCTGTGGTATAAGTCAGTTACAAGTACTCGTCATCCACTGTATGTGACATGTGGCAGCAAATGATATCTCCACTGCACCTTGATATAATTACACTCTTGAATGTCACATACAGTGGATGACTGTTGTAACTAGTACTAAATTTACTAATTTTCACACCGAAACATGATCTTATTTGTTATTCTATTTGAATGGCCTTGACATTTCATGTAAAAAAAAAGAACAATTGAAGTAAATTCTCAAGCAAGTTTAGTAAAGAAGTGAAATTTTGTCTTCTTGTTTTGTTCTGTAGGGTGATGACAGTGTAATAGCATGTATATATGATGAAGACAAAGGAACAACAGCAGTTCATCAGTATTACAACTCTGAGGATCCACTTACCTCTGGACAGATTGGAGTAAGTCAACTTTCAATATTAGATGGCTTTTTATGTACAGACACAGATGTGCCGGTACATATAGCTGTCACCTGCATCTGTCGTCGCCGTCGCCATCGTTGCCATGCACTTTCACCACCGATAACACGATAAGTGGAAAACCGTTTTATCTTTTGGCTTATACTTGCAGAACTGATGAATATTCATAATATGCAGGTCGAGTTCATAAAGCAGCATGATCGGACCATTTTTTAAAAGATTGTGCATTATTTCACCTTTTTCAGCATATATGCAACACTGATAACACATTTCAAGGAAACCGATAGACCTATTTTCTAGTAACCTACAGGAGTGATCGATATTGCTATAATACAGGTTGCATGTTCGAGCCATTCTTTTTTAAAGTTATGCTGTTTTTTTCACTTTTTTTAGCAAATATGCAACACTGATAGCACATTACAAGGAAAACCAATAAACTATAGTCTAGAAACCTTACTAAAACTCAGATCAAGTTTGAAAATCAGCTTGACCAGACCATTTTTACAAAGTTATGCTGTTTTTATTTTTTTTTTTTGGGGGGGGGGGTGGTTAAGCATATATGCAGTGCTTTTAACAGATTTCAAGGAAAACGGATCAGCCTATTGTCTTGCAACTCACAGGAGTGATCAGTCTGACTAATAAACTTCAGCTTGATCGGTTAAGTTTTGATGAAGATATGCCTTTTTTGTATATAAATAATTTTTTCAGATTTAATTCTTAGACATGTTAACAGTCTCATTATTGAACTAATTAGATATGTAAAAGTGTTCTTTTGGCATTTTCTGCATCTTGACAATATTGTTAGTTGATTATATAAAGATGATGGAAAACCTGTTATCATATATATTGTATATCAGTGATCATTTTACCTCTGCGTCTTGCTTCCCTGACGCACAATTTTTACTGTAGACGCAGAGTTTTATAGCAGATGCGTCCCCATGGACGCAAAGATTTTAAATTGTGTGAGATTCGTAAATAACCTGTTCATATGCATCGCTAATCCGCATAAAATACTAGTCATTAAAGTAGGTTAATCATGTCCATTTTCCCGTTGTTGTATTGAATGTTACAATAGCTTCCGGTTAGACTGTAAGTGTTAAATGCCAGCTGATTGGCTGTTTACACATCAAATAGCCAATAATATCAATCGTTAGTAATGGCAAAACTGTTCGTCTGCTTTGCACACTCCACTCTACACTTGACCTATTTTCGACTAAAATAGATTTTGCGCAGCATGTTAGTCTGCTCAGCGACCATCCGACCATGCCTCCAAAAAGCAATTATTAATAGACAGTAGCCAACAGATAATATTGAACATATTTAAGGTGAGACAGAGTCAAGCCGAGTTAGAGAAAACTTCTGAGACAGTAATCGCTGTGACTGCCGTTGAGGCTGAGAGTGAGAGTGACGCGGATGAATGTTTGACGGAGGCAAAAACGGAGTTCTAGCACAGCTAGGGTTGACCTCTGCAGTTCACACAGCATGATGTGAGAGGGTTTTTTCATGTCAAAATAGTATATTGACAAAGGACAGATGTCGTCTTAATGTTGAAACCCAGCACAAATTGATGCTGGTTAAAATGGCTAAGTCTGTTGACTATCAGTTGGCTATTGATTTGTGGCAAAAGGACAAGGAAAGACGGATATATGAACTGAAGTAAACTCGTCACTGTCATATTGCTTAAATAAAGAAACTTGAAAAAATAAAAGTAAGAAATTGTTAGTTTTGTGGTAACCTTTATTGTTCAAAATGACAGGGACCCATCACAATCTGCAGGGACCCATTGTTCAATATCATGTGCATCCTGTTGGACTCATAATATTTAAAGGTAAAATGATCACTGTATATATTGGCATTTTTAGGCATGACTTAGGAATTTCATGGGCCTGAAGACCTTTGCTAGTCACATTTGAGTGGTCAGTCTGTAATTTTCCCTTGGGTAATCACAAGCTAAGTTTAGAGCTATTAAGTCACTTGCCTAATTAATTTTCAGGTGGCCATTAAATGAGATTACATAAAACACACATGTTGCGATTTCCCTTTAAACTTCCATCAATTTAGCTCTCTGCTAGATACAGTTTGTCAAAGTCTAAATTAGCAGTGTCACATAATAAGGAACCTGTGATAATTATACAGGTAAACGTTTAATATTGCAGATAAGTTTACTAAAGAAAAATTATTTTGTGTAATGCTAACATTAATGCTATAGATGAATAATAATGCCTTATTATCCTCAAACTCAGTGGGTTTATTTATATCATGTTAATACAGCCAGATTAAAAGTTTGAATAGCAGCTTTATTGGAATATTTTTGCTATGTTTTCTTTTTAATTTTTTTTCAAACACTGGTATTTTCAAGGTGTGACTTTTAACTCCCATCCACCTGATTATGCTGTTTATTATTGTGTAATGCTGCATCAAAATTGATAAAAAAATAATTTATACACTACCATCATTATTTTCTGCTTTGTGTTTTTACATTTGGATGCTTTGCTATCTTGTATGCTACATTATTTGAAATTTGTCAGAAAAGTGCGTATTGTTCAGTTTCTTAGCATTTTAAAGAATGTCATTTTTCCAAGTATTGGAATACTTTCACTTTCCCATTCCATTGAGTCACAACCAGATCTCCATCCTGGTTGATGGCACATCCCCATGGTTTACATAGTCCATTAGCTTTGGTTGCTATGTACTGGATGAACTTTCCATCTGGGGATACCAGGTGTATGCAGTGGTTATCCCAGTCTGTGACCAGTATGTTGTCATATGCATCAACACAGACACCATGGGGTCGACCTAACTTGTTATCAGGTCCTGTGTACTGATACAGTGGGTCACCAGATGGGGTTAGGATGTGAAGTTTGTTTGGTGTTTCATCACTAACAACAAGGCACCCATTGCTCATATATGCTACTTTATATGGTTCATTGAACAACTGCTCCCCATCTTTGTCCCTAATGATATCAGTTAAAGTTATTTTCCCTTTGGTATCAATACTGAACACACTCACAGACTTTTCTTTATGATGCTGTGCCACAGCAATCTTAGTGCAGCTGTTATTGAGAGAGACACCACATGGAAAGTTGACATCTACAGTTTGCTGTACTGCCCACTGTGGTGACAGGATGAACAGTTTATTATTGTATGCACCAGATAGAACCATCCTTCCATCAGGGAAGTGACAGATCCCTACTGGACCTTTCAACTGTGTTTCTGAAACTTTTGTGATCTCTTGCCTTGCTGTACCATCTGAACTAAAAACCTTGACCTTGTTATCCCTGTCATGTGAAGAAACATACTCCCTGTTTGGACTCACTGAAATGTCCACTGGTCTTTGACAGTCAGAGTCAAACTCCAGTACACATTCAGCCTTTGGTTTGAACTTGGGCAAAGCTGGTTGTGTAGATATCTGCACATTCCCCAGGCCAGCCCCACTGGATATCTCTTGGTCCACTTCTGTGTTGGTGGTGAGTGTAAATTTTAGTTCCTCTGGAATATCATCCACAGCTGAAGTGGACTGTAGCTCATCTAGTCTCTGTCCAAGTTGGTGTTGTAACATGAGGACATCTATGGTGCACCACGTTGAAGGATGTTCTTTACTACATCTGTTGTGGTTTTGATAGAGGAGCAAGTGGCACTACAGTTTTTGCGGGAAATTTTTTAATTATTTCTGTGAGTGCTGGTGGTTTGATGAAGCTCTTCTAGTAAGCTTTTCTCTCGTTGATCTACCAGTTGACGAAGATGAGCTGCACGAGCTTTGATCTTCTGCTGAACAAAGCTTTCATTTTCTTGAAGGGTTGCCAAGATTTCATCAATTTTAGCTATTGTTTGCTCACCCCTTGCAAATTTTTTCTCCATGCCACAGGATTTGGTCAGAAGTTGTGGCTTTACCATCTCTGCTGCTTTTTCAATGGTGATAAGTTTGTGGCCATCATGGTGTAGATCTCTGCAGTCACGACAAATGGGAACACTGCAGTCTGAACAAAAGTATCGTATCATCTCGCCTTTGTGCTCTGGGCAGATAATCTTCTGCTGCTCTTGGATTTCTTTTTGATATTCACTGCTGTGAAGTTGTTCAAAAGTGAGTACTCTGTGATTTTTAGTGAGTGTGGTGCCACAGTGGAATGAAGAACATCTCTCACATAGGTAGTCATGGCAGGTGATACATTTTGAAGTAGCCACTGTTTCTTTTTGGGACACCAAAACACAAAAGCTGCACTTTTTCTTATTTGTTGACTGAAGTACAGTGTCCTGCAAGCTTTCAATGAATAAATTGTGAGTGAAGCCTTCAAGGCCATCTTTAAGAACTTCTGTCTCTTTCTGACACACAGGACATCGGAATTTACTTCCTGGTGTGGAGTTTGAAATATAAGTCTTCAGACAACCTTTACAAAATGTATGTCTACATGGTAAATCTGTCGGGTCTTTGTACTCCTCAAGGCATAATGGACAGCTGACAAAATATTCAGTTATTTTGGCTCGTAGGCTTTCTTCTTCATCTCTGTCATAGCGAGCTGTAGCCATCTTGGGGGTGTGTAGCGAACTGTTCTATGTAGAGCAGTTATCTATTTTCAGCAGTAAACTGGTGGGAGAGAATGGACTATGAATGTGTTTTCAGCAGAGTTATAACTGTTATCTTATCAGTAACCTAGTTGCCTCTCATCTAAGGCCACAGCAGTTTGTTTTTGCATTTCAATATGTATTAGGAGTCAAGAATGTGTTTATTTTATTTTTTTTTTACCAGTGAAGATGTTAGGCTCTGGAGTAGGTAGTCAGTTCAGGTTGATGGATTCAGTGAGAGCTGTAACTACAGTGTAGATATCTTGCAGTGAAGACGCAGGTGCTCTTTGTTCTTTGTCTTGTGAAGTCTCCACTTGGGCTGTAAACACAACTCCCATCTTTATGTGTGCAGGTAGTGCGCCTAAAATGATCTGAATCTGCAATTTCAGATCACAGATGATCTTACATGGTCTGAATCGTTATAGAATTGGTTTTAGCATGGACTGGCCTTGCTTTTAAGATAAAAAAAAGATCTTACCCTGGATGATGAAGACTATTATTGGACTGAGTTTTAGTTAAGTGGTCAAGCAATTATCTCCTGCGTCCCCCCCCCCACATTATTCATATTTCCTTAAGCCCTTGTTGCATATTCTGAATGTCCCTGTTACTGGTATTACACAATAAAATTAGGAGTGATTATGCTGTTGACCATTATGTAAAATTGCATCAAAACAGACCAGAAAAAACATATTGTTCACAAGCATAATCATTTTCTGCCTTCTGTCTGAACATTTGACAGCTCTGCTGCCGTGTTGAATCTTTTATCTCAAATATCATGTAAGATTTAAGGTAAATGTTAGAAAAATTATTGAACTTACCTAGCTTAGATAGTAGACCACCATTTAAAAGGTCACTGTATATATGGGCTGGAAAGATATTAAACATATAATTACACAGTTGATTTTTTTTTTCTTATTTTAGAGCAGCGGCTTGGTAAAAGAGGGCGCCACATATGCCAACAGCACCATCTGGTGTCGGTTCACCCGTACAATCACCAGCTCTGACGCTAAAATGATGAAACCATTAAATAACGAATATCATATATTGTTTGCCAAAGGACCAGTTGCTTGTATGTTGGATTGGTGGAGTAATGGATTAACTGTTTGAAATGTGATGTGAAGTCTTCATTAAAAGAAAATTAAGGAAACAGAAAAGAGTGAAGCATAATAAATTTTTTCTAAACATTTGAATTCATAAATGAGTGATCTGAGAATTGTATTTACAAATGTTAATCATTCACTAGGTCTTGAAAAGAATGGTTTGCTGATCTCTGTCCTTTCTACTGCTTCCAGCTGGTGCTGTGGGAAAGCATGGATTTGACTACTATGGTGGTCCAGCCGTGTCACCACAGAGAACCAACTTGATCAAAACTGACAACATTGGAGGCCGTGCCAGCTACCCTCTGGTGAAAGCTCATGGTAAGTGAACACTAAGAACATTGGTCAAAGTAAGTGAACATTGACTGCAGGAGAGGTAACTGTATTAAATTGGATTTTTTAAAATAAAAAACTGTAAGTATTGTGTCACATGTCAATTAAAGTTGTTGAAACTTTGCTGATCCTAACTAGGTGGTTGACCTGTTTTATTTCTTGTATCTTGATGATCCTGGCCTGGGTGTTGACTTCCAGAATTGCCATCAAATTGTTGACCTTCTGTTGTTCTATTTCAGGTATCTTGATGATCCTGGCCTGGGTGTTGACCTCCAGTATTGCTGTCATATTGTTGACCTTCTGTTGTTCTATTTCTTGATGATCCTGGCCTGGGTGTTGACCTCCAGTATTGCCATCATATTGTTGACCTTTTGGTGTTCTATTACAGGTATCTTGATGATCCTGGCCTGGGTGTTGACCTCCAGTATTGCCATCATATTGTTGACCTTCTGTTGTTTTATTTCAGGTATCTTGATGATCCTGGCCTGGGTGTTGACCTCCAGTATTGCTATCATATTTGCCAGATATTTCAAGCCAATGTGGCCCAATGACAGGCTCTGTGGAGAGAGGGTCTGGTTTGCTGTAAGGATCAAAATTATCATTCTGCATTGACATTCCTTCTCCATTTTTCCTCTTTGAAGAAAGAAAGCTTCTAACAGCAATAGGACTTTGTTAATAATGGTGTCAGTGTGAAGTATAGTGCAGTACGGTATGATGTAGTAACATTATAAAGTATGTAACTGTATGTGTTAAAATGTAGTATATAGTAAGAGGGTCACAGCCTGAGCACTACAAGGACACTTGGAAGTGACCAGGGATGATATCATAAATGAAAATTACAAAATGTCTCATTAATTTTCTGCTCTTATTTCAGAACCACCGTACCTTGCAGATCAACACGCTGATCCTGACCATCATTGCTTTTATACTCATCTTCATTGAAGTGATGGGATACAGCAACGTAAGCTCTCCACTGCTTTTTATTTTTACCAAAATCAAATGTTTTAAATACTTGAGGAAATTTTTAGAAGTGTTCATTTGAGGGTAGACAACATTCTGTAATGTGTAACAATTGTGAATAGTGGCTCACTCTTATTCCAGATGGACTCTCCAGGCTTTGCTGTGGCTCACCCTATCATTGGTATCATAGTGACCATACTGTGTGTACTGAATGTAAGTATCAGCCTATCATTGGTATCATGGTGACCATACTGTGTGTACTGAATGTAAGTATCACCCTATCACTAGAATTAATGTGACCTGTTTATTTAATTGATGACTTATTGGAATGGCTTTCTGTGAAGGTGGTAGTTGTAAAACAGCAGCACGTGAAAGGATTCATCAAAATATGTAGATTTTTAAGATTCACAAGTGATGAATTTGTTTAAGGAATCAAAGTAAGAATATGCAAATGTCAGTTACCAAAGTCATAACTTATTTTCAGCCAATCATGGCTCTGTTCCGTTGCCACCCCGAGGATGATTATCGGCCCATCTTTAACTGGTTCCACTGGATTGTTGGAACTGTGGCACACATATTGGCAAGTACGTACATAGTTTAACTTATAATGATTAATATTTCAAGATACATATTGAAACAGCATTGTGAACAGCTCAGACAAATGTGTAAATACAGAAAATGTTATTATGTAAATGAATGTGTTACTGATGTACTCACAACCTTTTAATTCAAAAGCTTGACAGAAAGCTTTCCCCCCCCTTACTTTAACCTTGTTTACTCTGACAACACCAGGTGGTATCTAGGGGAGGGGAAGGGGGGATATAATATTTATCATTTTACTGTTCTAATTTTGCTGACCCAGTGAACTATTGGTATTTCAGCCATCAAATTTTTCTTTGGTATGAAATATTTCTCATTTCCATGTTCTAATTTTGCTGACCAAACAATCTATTGGTATTTCAGCCATCAACATCTTCTTTGGAATGAACCTGGCCAAGTCTGGTGTACCCTGGTGGGTGACCTGGGTCATGTTGATCTGGGTCCTGATCCAATTTATCACTGAGATTACCCTGGAGATCCATCAGTGCTGTGTACACAAGAGAAACAAAGGTGGGAATATCCCGCAGCCTTTCAGTTCTTTAACACCATAGTTGTAGTCTCTGTTGTAGCCAGCTGTATGGTTTTGATGAAAGTTTGATATGTTATTTCGGTAGTCAAAACCACACTATTTCTTAAGCCAAAATCACTATAATGTTTTTTTCTCTGCACAATATTTTGTTACTTGAAATAAACTTCAGTACTTTTGCAAGTAAAGCCATTGAATGAATTTTTTCCAGACAAGCGTGAACAATGGGAGATGCAGAAACGCACTGACCCCCGCGCAGAGAAGGTACCGGAACCTGAACCCTCTGTAAGTGACGGACTACAAAATCTAGAAGCTGTAGTAATAATAACAGTATTTTTAGGATGTATTTGTGGATGTTAATTTATTAGTTTAAATACCAACTAAAATGTTCATGCTATTCTATGACGGTTACCCATAAAGAGATTATACGGACTAAGTAAAGTTTTTCTTATCATGTCACACAGTCCATACTGGTAGCGTTTCAGTTTCCCATAATTCCTGTTTTAGGGCCGTCGTTTCAAGTCCACTATGTTGGCCATTTACATCACCTTGACGGTCATCCTGGTCATCATCATGGTCATTGCCATCGCAGTGTCCTAAACTGACCAGAGGTCAACGTCACCATACTATGACATGGAGCTGGGCTGGGGAAATGATTGTAGCAAGGAAAATCTCAAGTTTTACAAGTGCCTCTGATGTGATATTTGACTAACTAACCATAGAGATGAGCCAAGTTTTTAACATCATCTAGGTCCATGTTGTGGATCACACATTGAGATAAAATATTGTAGTAGATAAAGGACCACAAAGTGTTTGAATCCAATTTTTTTACCTTATTTTAGAAAGGAGCGTGTTTGATGAATAACAAGCTATTTTCATAAACCTTCTATTTGGATCATTTATTAAGACCTGCCTGAATGTGTTCAGAAACCTTTGGTACATGAGATCATACTGAGCCACATCAGCAGGCATTTCTTTTGTGAATTACTTCTAGACTTAGGCACCATTGATCATGTTAGAAAACGATTTGCCCAAATGATGTGATTGGTCTGAAAGGAGCAAAGATTTGCTAATGGATGATCAGTAACTTTCATATTAAGTTGAAAAGTGAAAGGTAACCACTAGGTTCAGGGTAACACACATGACTTTGCAATATATTTATATACCTTTTTGATACACATCTTTTTAGTAATGCACTATATTTGTATCTATTATATTTACTATGTGGGGAGATTAAAGGTTCAGGTTGATATTGATTTACCCCTGGCTATGTTTTGAGAATAATCTGTCAGTTGAAAAAAACCTTGATTTTTTTTTTCTTTGATCATGCCAAACCAAAGGGCTTGCAATGACTACCTATCTGTGAAATATTCTAATATGTTTGATTTGCTACATGTAAGTATATTTATTGGGTCAACATTTATTCAATATTGTGAAATCACATCATACTTATAAGTAATCTATATAAGTTGACAATTTTAGCAATAATACATCATATAGTGTTACATTTCCTACCACAGGACTTTTTACTGATAATATCAAAAGTGAGAATTGACTGTTTGAAGAAAGATCTGGAGCTGTTAAATTGCAGAAATTGAAGTGTTTTACAACTTATAATGGTTGTCACAATGTGGGAATGTTGGCATTTGTATATTCATATTTTTTTGCTTTTGATTCCTGACTGTATTTATTAACTTTTATACATCTGTCTATAAAACACTGCTGAAACAAAGTTCTTAAAATATTTTATAGTCTTATAGTTTACAGTATATCAATAAAGATGTTTCACCACTGTCAGAGTTAACTAACTCCAACAGTCGCTTTCA